TATATATATATATATATATATTTAAAATAAAATTTCATATTTTTCACATTTATAATTTAATGATTATATATAATCTTAAATTGAGTATTTTTAATTTAATTAATTATTTTATTTTTATTAAGAAATAAAATGCGTAATTTAAGTTATAAAAATTAATTACTTTAAATTACACATTTTAAACTACACAATCTAGCACAATCTAACATTAACCCAAACGACTTTCGTAAAATAATTGTCGTTATTCCTTAAACTCTTGAGCAAACCGATAATGAGCGCCGCGGAAGGTTCGCTCGACTGGCAATCAAAGTGAATCTCAAGCAACCTCTAATCTCGAAACTCTTAATTAACGGCCGGCTGCAATTAGTTGAGTATGAATCTTTCCTTGCAATTTGTTTCAAGTGCGGATTCTACGGCCATGTGATGGATCAATGTCCATTGAATAAGCCTGTCGAACCTGTTTCCACCGATGATCCCCCGTCATTCCCCGGCGTCGGTTGAAAAGACTCTCGCGGAACCGTATGGCCCTTGGATGCTAGTTGATACCCACAGAAAGAGGAATTCGAGAGTCTCGACTTCATCGGAGGCAAAAAACTCTGAAGCAATCACCAGTAAATCCCGCTTAATCCAATCTTTGAGGAACTCCCTGCTGATTCACCTGCTATTACCAACCCAGTTCAAGAGCAAGTCTCGGTTGTTCCAACCACTCAAGATAACCCACAGCCTCACATCTAGGCAACTCAATTGTTCCCTAAAGGAATTGAGAATGCTGATCCAGAAGAAGCTTATTCTCGGTCTAAAGGTAAGGCTCTTTGGCCTCTCGAAAAATATCCCTGATCGTCCTTGCTCCAAGGAACACTAATATTATGGTTAAGAAGGACTCCACCAACTCCTCTTCTACCAGTCGAAATCTTAAGAACCGTAGCTAGACCTCGTTTAACCCTTTAAAGCATTTGGCAATCGAGTTGTCATCTTCAACATCACCGATTTTTCCCACTCGGAAACCCCATGCAGATTCACGTCCCATCCATGCAGATCCGCGTCCCAACCATGGTACCGCTGATGTGCATGGGGTTAGCCCTTCTAAGCATGGTCCTCCTTCATCCTCAAGCTCTCATGCTATTACTGATGGATCAACGCTGGTAAGAAATCGCGACCCCCATGGCCACTCGACCATGGTTGAATGACTCTTGAGCCTCTCAGCTTCCCCTTTGTTCAGCTTGTATTTATGTCCATAAAACTTTTTGTGTGGAATGCTCAAGGTTGTGGAAGTCATAATTTTGTCCGAGTGACGAAACAATATATTAGAGACAACCGTCCGGGTGTTTCTGTATTTGTTGAAACTCGTATCAGTGGCAGTGTTTCAAATCACGATCTGAAAACGTGATAACTCTCGTGAAATATCTGTAGCGCCGCCATCCGAATTACCCACTATACCCGCAATAGTACCCACGGCCACAATCACGATAAACACGAAATGACTTAAAACGCAATCGCGACCGCGATTTAAAACCCTGATGAGTGGTTCTAACGCTAATCAAGTGATTGGTTCTGAGTTTTCCAAATTCTTATAGAGTCGAGGCTATCTGGTTTACTGGCGGTATATGGCTCTGTTGGTTTGATAACATTCATATTTCCATCTTAGCTTGCCATTTTCAATTTATTCACTGCTGCATTTTCTCGGAGTCCTCGTCTGATACGTTTCTGGGACCTTTTATTTAAGCCAATCCTTCCATCAGCCAGCGTAAAAACCTTTGGGATCATCTTCATGATCGGTAAGGATGTGTTTCTAATTCCCCCGAATCTTCTCTTCAGGACTTGGTTTTTAGTTGTGGTCTGTATGACCATGGATATGTTGGCCCGCGTTTACTTGGTATCGTGGTAACTGTACAGTGAGGCTTGATCGTTGCTTCGGTAACTCTGTTTGGTTTAAAAGGCTTCCGAACTCTGCTCTCCATCATCTCCTTAGAATGAAATCGGATCACAGACCACTTCTTTTATCTTCAGCTGTTAGTTCTTGCTCTAATCGAACTCCAAAATTCAGGTACTTCTCGGGATGAAATGAAATCGGATCACAGACCACTTCTTTTGTCTTTCAGCTGTTAGTTCTTGCTCTCATCGAACTCCAAAATTCAGGTACCTCTCGGGATGATTTCTTCACCGAGACTTCAAACGCTTAGTTAAGGATAATTGATGCTCGACCCTCTCAATATCCGAAACTATCAAGAACTTTACCTCAGTCACGGTTACTTGGAATAAGGAAGTATTCAGTGAAATTGGTCGTAATAAAAAATTCATCATGGCTCGGCTCCGGGGAGTTAAAAGATGCCTTGATAAAAAAACGTTCGAGCAATATGGTGAAGCTCGAAGCGAAGCATCTCAAGGACTTAGAGGTCATTCTTGATCAGGAAGAATAGATTTGGAAACAGAAAGTGCATATGGATTAGATCAAATTTGGAGATCGTAATACTCACTTTTTCCACTCTAACGCAATGATTCAAAGGCTTTAAAAATAACGGGGATTGGTGCGATGATTCTTCTAAATTAAAATAGGCGACAACCTCTTATTTTCCGAATCTTTTCGCCGTTGACAGTAGGCCGCATCCCTTCTTCCCTTATTCGAGCATGTTCCCTCCTTTTCAAGCTGGTCATCTCGACTCATTGGCTGCTACCCCGAATGTGTCCGAAGTCAGAGAAGCCCTTTTCTCTATGGCCCCTCTCAAGGCCCCCGGTATCGATGGGCTACACGCTAATTTTTTCCAGCGTAATTGGGAGTTAGTGGGTTTCTTAGTTTGTCGCATGGTACAATCAGTTTTAATGGAGCTGATATTGATCACCTTCTCACTCAAACTTGTGCAGTGTCCTTTACAAGCCGATTACGAAAGTAATCGTTCGGCGATTGCAACCCATTATGTTGTATCTTATTGGACCTTATCAAACCAACTTCATCAAAGGCCGCAGTATAACAGAAAATGTGATCGTCAATCAAGAAATTATTCACACGATGAACTCTAAGAAAAGAACAGTGGGGTGGATGGCAATAAAAGTTGACCTTCAGAAAGCTTTTGATTGTGTAAGATGGGTATTCATTGAAGACAAGTTGAATGAAGCTGGTTTCCCCATTCCTCTTATCTTTTTGATCATGAAGTGCATCACTTCTTCAACAATACTGATTCAATGGAATGGAGATCTTAGTGTCGAATTCAGGCCGAACAGAGGTATTAGGCAAAGAGACCCCTTATCTCCTTACCTTTTCAACCTAACGATGGAGAGATTAAGCCACGCTATCTCCTACAAAGTCTCCATCGGGGAGTGGTCAGCTTTCAAACTCAATCGTAATGGCTCTCCCATTTCACATCTTTTCTTCACCGATGACTTGGTTCTTTATGCTAAAGCTAATATGGATAATGCTTCCATCATTGACTCCATACTTGATCTTTTCGTTAGTTATTCTGGTCACATGGTTAACAGGAGTAAGACCAAAATCTTCTTCTCCAACAATACAATTAGAGTGATGCGGACCTCTATATGCTCTACTCTTGGCTTTCAGGAAATTAATTATATGGTGCTTTATCTTGGTATTCCGGTTCGGCATTTGGGGGCGAATAGAAACATTTACAATTTCCTCGTCGATAAAGTTAAAAGCAAACTTGATGGTTGGTCGACTCGTTTCTTATCCTTTGCTGGTCGCGCTACTCTTGCAAAAATAGCTCTCTTCACTATCCCTTCGTATGTCATGCAAGCTAGCAAGCTCCCATCCAGCGTCTGCCAGAAGATTGAGGCCATTATCCGGTGTTTTATTTGGAGTTCCAACTCTACCTCCTCTCACGTCTCCCTTGTCAACTGGGAGTTAGTTTGTCAGCCTTTAATTCATGGAAGATTGGGATTCCGTCATATCGATAATGTTAATGATGCTTTCTTATTGAAGATTTGTCATTCTATTGTTGTTAACAGATCATCCTATCGTGTTTCTCTTATCCGTAACAAATATAATCTGCAAATCACTTGACCAGATTCTATTACCCGAGTGAACTGCTCATATTTGTGGCGCGCGTTGTCTTATCTTTGGCCGACTTTTATTAAATCCATGGCCTAGTCTGTGGGCAATAGACTCTTGATCCGATTTTGGATTGACAATTGGATTCCAAAGCTAGGTCTTCTATCTTGCTGGAGGAACCCAAATATCTACATTGACCCTTCTTTGATGGTTACTGATTTAACCCTCCCTGGTGGCTCTTGGAACATGTTTGTTATCTATCAACTCCTTCACCCTCATTCTTTGGATCTTTTCCAACACATCATGCCTCTGCAAGATTTGATTGGGAGTGATTGTTGCTATTGGAAGGAAGAGAAAATTCATAATAAAAGTGCCCACACCCTTATCGCCAAGCATTCTTGAATACCCCTGATCCCCGGTAGAAACTTGGCTGGAAACTTAGAGTTCCAGAACAATTACGCTGCTTCATTTGGCTTGCTCTCAAGGATAAACTCCTCACTAACCATTTTCGTTGCCGACAAGGTTTCTCTCAAGATCTATCTTGTCCTTCTTGTTCCTATCATGATAAGACACTTCCCCATATCCTTTGAGACTACACGATGGTCCGAGAAGCCTGGGTTGCCATTACATGTTATCGATCTTCCGATAAATTCTTCCTTGCTCCCCTCTTGGACTGGCTGGTTATGAACCTTTCTTGTTGTGACATTGTATTTGCATATTGTCCTTGGAACATTTTGTTTGCTCCATTAATTTGGCAGGCTTGGAAATGGCGCAACAATCTCATCTTTCAAGGCAAAGCTATTGATGCCATGTCTCTCATAACTTTTAGCACTTCATGGGCAAATCACTACTACAAAGCTGCCGCGATGCCGACCTCCCCCAGCGCTCACAACATTGAATTTTCCATTGAAATCGCCCCAAAGAAGGTTGGTTCAGCTTAAATTCTGATGTCGTTGTTTCTTCGGCTTATAGCATTGGCTTGATGTGGGGTGTAATACGTGATAATATGGGACGCTTTCTCCTGGCTTATTATGGATGTTTGGGGCCATCTTCGGTTCTCCATGCAGAGCTCTCGACAATACAAGAAGGTCTCCATCTGGCATGGTCGAAGGGCCTTAACCGTATTATTGTCCAAACAGATAGCTCCGATGCCTACGAGCTTTTCTCCCCACCAACAGTTAATAGGCTATTCTCTCATGTGAGAAGCATAACCTTGCTCTGTTCTAGGAATTGGTTGGTTGATTTCACATTAATCCGATGCGAAGCTAATTACGCCGCTGGCCATCTAGCCAAGCTCGCATTGAAGAATGAGCGCCTTCTCAGAGTTATTGAAGCTGCCCCAGACTCCCTTACTGCTATTCTGCACCGAGACTTATATGCCCCCTTCACGTTCGCATGAACGCTTAGAACCCGGCTTTGGCCTCCTTTTTATTCGAGAAAAAAATATCTCATCCACTTTATTTTTCAGTTAAAATGAAATCATTAATTAAATTAAAAAGAATTAATTAAGATTATATAAAATCATTAAATTATAAATGTGAAAAAATATTAAATTTATTTTAAAAATATATCAATTTTAAATTTAATTTTATAAATTAGTGTTAAATGTGTATATATAATCTATCAAATTATTATTTAAATGCAAGATTTGATTTAGTGGTTTATTGCTTTCAAGTTTTTTATGTGGTTTAGGTTCAAATTCCTTTACAGACATTTTTATTTTTTTCTAGCATTAACTACTTTATAAAAATATATATAGTATTATGTAAAATACAACATGAATATGAAGGCTGGGGCTATGCGCATGTGCTTTATACCCCAATTCCCAAATTCAAATCATTCCAACATTATTGTTGTGCCTTTTTTTGGGAGTTTAATTTTCTTTTAATCAGATGGTGACACGTGTCATAAATAATTAAATTAAATAAATTTAAATTAGAGAAAATACCATTTAATCTAGTGGTGACATGTGTCACCTCCTAATTGGATGGTTAATTTATTAAATAAAATTAAATAATAACCAAATTGATCGAATGCACAAAAATTGAGGATCAAATATGTAATTATATCAATTTGTTAACTTCCACATAAGCAGTTTCGTTAAATAATGACTAGTATGTATATTGAATCTAATTAAGTAGTTCAATGATTATATTGACGTAATTTTAAAAATGGTAGTCATTTTGATACCAACTCTATAATTGAATGATCATTCAAATAGTTTACCCTATTAACAATAATGGAAACTTCTAGAAATCTTGTACAAAAATTCTAGAAGTTTGTTGATCAATGACAGAGAAAATGAAAAGCGAGAAGTCAAAGCAAGCTGGGGAGATAGAGTTTCGGCATAGATGAAGAAACATATATTTAAAAATAGAGAAAATAATCTCAGTGACAAAAAATGTCTTATAATATACGAATTTAACCAACTTTTTTTGGATTTTCCAAAATGACCAACAAATTCGCAACGCGATCTCTAATTTCGCAACCCAGTTTATAAATTCGCAACGCGAATCTGTAAATCGCAACACAGAAGTCAAATTCGCAACGCGATAGTCAAATTCACAACACATAGTCAAATTCGCAACACGAATTTCAAATTCGCAACGCGAATTTAATTTCGCAACATGTTTTAGTTTCGCAACATAAATATTTTTGGTATATAACAACGCAGCAGCAACAACTCATAACCTAAATCGCAACTCATTCCATCTTCATCTATCACTCTCTCCGGCGACATCCGTTCCTATATCCAACGACATCCTTCCCCATCTCTAATTTTTTTTACATAATTTTATTTCTATATATTTTTTTATTGATTTCTCTCCCAAATTATCAACTATCAACTTAATAAAGGTATGTTTTTCTCTAAGTTAGTGATGATATCTAGTTTATAGCTCATTTGTTTAGTAAATTAATTTATAATTTGTAGAATTAAATCATCTAATGTTGATCATGTTTGGATAGATTTGTGTTTTGGAGGGGCATGAGAGAATGTTCATGGTGTTTTACAATATGTGTCTTTACCCGTGAATCTTCAACTAAAACTGTCATTAAAAAAGTTAACTTATGAAACTCTAATGTTACGTGTTGCAAAGAAATTGAATTTAGAGTATCTAAGAGTCTGAAGTGGATATGATGAAATCGCCTATGTCACATGCGAGCTGGATGACTTCCTTCACGTGAAAAAAAGTGCTCAAGATTTTGACAACCGCCAGCCATATTTCCTTTTTAGCCTAGACAAGACAATAGCAGGTATCTAGGGAATCTTCACTTATACGAAACCCTAGGAGATTTCCTTCTACAAATACCTAGCCATAGTCGCCAAGAAAAGGAGGCAATGAAGTTAGAAGAGCTTTACTTGAAGTGTGAACGAGTAACTGCAGTGCTTCCCCACCGTCTACCAACCAACCTTCCTTGGTGTCCTCCATAGTAGACTGTAGCAGAGCGGTGGACAAGTCTCGAGAGAGGCTGACTGCCAGGACAGGCGCAGTGTTGATCAAAATTGTCACGATAGAGCCCCCGGTTTTTGGGAGTCATTCGTCCTTTGTTCTTAATTTCCTTATGTATTTTGGGTTGTATAAAACGATGATACTTGGTTGACTTTCGATAACACCATGAACTGTCCTAGTTGGTGTTAATCTTTGTTTTGCCTAAACAATTATTTTCTACTTTATGAATGATGAATTATGATTCTTCTTACAATTGTTTTGTTCATTGTTTGAATATTTTGCCTTGACACTATAAGAGCTTCGAGAGATTGCTTGGGGTCTTGGTGAAAAATGTCTTGGCAATGTAAGAGCATCGAGAGATTACCCTTTGTCTAGATATTGATTCTTAGATTCGAGAGAATTAAGATAGACCCACATGAACAACAGAATGGATCTGGGATTATGATGTTCTAACTTGTCTACCTTAGAGATAAGGAGCATGTTTCAAGTGACTAAAAGGGATAGACGCTAAAGTAGGATAGACAACAACTATAGTTTACGCTGAGAGGTATTGCTACAACAACAGTCTGACAAACCTAGGGTTATAGTTAATACTAAGTAGTATTGCCATAGCAACCGTCTAAGAATACTTAGTAATCCTATCGGGCAGCTCAAGCATGTCATAACAATTCATTCTGGACTTAGAATAATTGCTTATCAATACAAAAGATTAGCATGAGTGCTCTGTGATAAGTCTGAATATGTGAGGTTGTTTTGAATATATTTGCATCAACGCTTGTCTTTATTTTGTTTATTTTACTTCGATAGTTTACATATTTATTTTGTCTCGACTAACTTTTCTGCAATCATACTTTATAATATTTCTTGCTTTATTACTAATAGTTTTCTAGTTTGACAGATAGAAATTAGATTGTGACAACTAGTTCTAGTTGTGGTGAAACTTAAAACATTCGACCAATCCCTGAGGAGACGATAACTCACTTATCCTATATTACTTGATTCGATTGTGTATACTTGCACATAATTTCTTGCCTTAGCAAATACATTACAAGCGATCAGATGTTAAATATAACGTTTTACCAAGGATGCATTGACGTTATCCGGATGGCACGCGAATTTCTACCACTTGTGGGGCTCGACGATGTCTATGACATCCGACCTAAAACCTTCATCTTGTTGTTAGTGAAAATGAAGCCCAACTCAAAATTACCTTTCGATTTTCAACTTTGGAATCTCTCCTTTGGTTCATCGTCCACAAACTGCTAATGAAAGGCAGCTTAAAATCTTGAAGTTATCGTGTGCACCATGGGAGTTTGTGTGAAAGAATAATAAAGTAAAATGATGAGATCTTTAATAATGGAGTCGGCTAAAAAGAGAGAATATGAGAAGTTGAAAATAAAATGAAAGAAAAGGAAATAAAAAGGAAAAAAAAAAAGGTAGTGGGTAATTAAAATAGAATATTAGCGGATAGGGTAATTTGGGTAGGTGAAAAGGTGAAAAGTAAAAACAATTGTAAAGTTCAATAATTCAAAGTAAAAGAATTCTTCCCTCTTTTATTATTTTCCATTACTACCCACCCTAAAAATTAGGGTTAATTCTTCCATTTTTGTCATTTCTCTTAATCATAACTGTCACCTCCTTTGTGCATGATCTTATGTGGGACCATATAATACCAATAATTGGTAAATAATAATTAAAATAATAAAAATAAAAATGTATGCTTTATTTATGCACAAATAGAAAATTCCAATGTCATGGTATTTAAGGTTGTTTTAGGACACTCATACATCGTGCAAGTAAGTAAAGATTTGTCGCGCAAGGGCGGGGCTCCATTATAAACTTTCAGGCGCTAAACATTAACTTTAAATATATTCCCATCATACATTTTCTATAACAATCACTCTATGGAGGCACATGCACCTCGAATGGTCCTAACCATCTAGATTTGAGCTTTCTAGGAAAGAGCATTCCCATATGTTTGTGCCCTGAACTCTTCCATCTCATTAAGCTCAAGCAGTCTTACTCACCACTAATTGAGTATCAAAATTAAGCTTTTAATGGCCTATATGCCTTATCTTTCAGCTCAAAGGGAGATGGAAAGTCTTTCCATACACCACTTAAAGGGTGACATGCCTAGAGAAGTCTTAAATGTTGTTCTAAATGCCCAAAGTGCTTCATCTAACTTTGGCGACCATCCTCTTTGGATTCACTACTTTTATAATATTTGTTTTATCTTGCAGTAGATACTTCAGCTTGGCCATTATTTGTGGTATATACCGTGGAAATTTTGTGACAGCCTCTATATATCTTCATAACTTAGCAATCAATTTATTATCGAATTGGGTTTTTCATCGCTAATGATAGCTCTAGGTACTCTAAACCGTGTAAAGATATTCTTGTGCAAAAACTTAACCATGGTTTTAGAGTTATTCTTTGATGTTGCAATCGTCTCCACCCACTTAGATACATAATCTAGAGCAAGCATAATGTACAAGTCTCCACAAGAAGATGAAATTTTACCATGAAATCAATGCCCCAAACATCAAATAACTCGATCCTCAAGATGTTTTGCAATGGCATTTCATATCTTCTAGAGATGTTACCAGTACATTGGCATTGATCACATGACTTGTAAAATGTATGACCATCTTTGAACATTATTGGCCAATAAAAGTATGATTAAATAACATTGGCAGTGGTTCTTGCTCCTCCAAAATAGCCTTCACATGGGGTCGTATGAAAATGGGTAGAATATCCTGTTGCTCCTCTTTGGGTACACACCTTCTTATGATTTGGTCTTTGCAACTTCTTGAATGTCTAAAATATCATAGCATTCAGAATTGCTTTCTAGCCTAAATAAGTGATATTCTACTTGATTCTTAATACATTTTCTATATACAACCTCAAGATCAAATTCTTGCAATAGTAAGATCCACCTAATAAGTAT